GCCTACGGCTCTAAACGGAGGTAGCTGCCGCTGAAGCTGATGCAGCTGCTGAAGAAGACGAAACCGAGAAGTAATTGAAGTTGATGTTTGACCTTTGATGACTTTTAAATAAATGTTTTGTTTTACTCATTGAGAACCTTTTTAAATGGTCTACTGAGAACATTGTGAATGTTTATGCAGTTTTGTGATGTTGAGAAACTTGTAATTGTTATGTTGAGAACTTTTTTAACCTTTGAGTATTTGTTGTGGCTGCTGATGTTGAACAATTTGTGGATGTTGATGTTTTGAAGTCACTTTAAGTTGCTGTTGATGTTTTGAAGTCAGTTTTTAACTTTAATAAAAAGAAAAGCACACCTGAACTACCTATATTCTATCTAGTGTAGGGCTTGCACTCAATAGTCATCTTTTTTCTGTAGGTTGATGTTTTGTCTAATTATAGTGAAGCCTAATTAATATTTATTTATATAGTGAAGCCTAATTAATATCAAGCGGCCATTCACGTCAGGGATAGAGGTCTTTAAGGATGGAGGCTCATTTCTTTTTCGTAGAACACGTAATAAAAAACTTCACAAGATACTCACATCAAGAAAGTTTTTATCGAATTGTGACAGTGTGTACACAATTCAAATCTTGAGTATAGAAACTCCTACTTTTCACAATGTAGACATATTGATCCGGCGGTACAATTGTCCAAAGCAATCTCTCATATAGAGTTTGTGTGACATTTTTTTAAGAAAAACAACTATCGCTTTACGAATGGATCAGATGGTCAACATCAAAAAAAAAAAAAACAATTTCATTCATTCATAAGGTATTTTTATGTCTTATGAATACAATATCTAAAAATCAAGATGATCCATTATATAGATCATTTTTTATGTTCTAGATAACAACTGCCCAAATATTCTTTTAGAAATTAAGCTTCTTGAATTTCGATTGGTTATCAATTTCAAATATTACATGCATCTACTTACACACACATGCAAAATATATTATATTAAAGATAATATGCATCAACTTGATCTTCAATATACAAATATCACAAATATTAAACTTAAGCATAATAATATCACAAATAGCATAAATTATTTATGATGTAACATAATATTTTGAACTAATCATTATCGATCTTATAAGCATACAAATATGAACGTAATCATAATTACATAATTCCAAATATTCACATGCATTATATAATTTAGGCATAAAATGTCATTATATGCATTTCAAAATTAACATAGAATAATCAATCATTTCATACATTAAGAAACAATCATGTTCTATTTAATTCAATAATCCATTGTCCGACTGAACATCATTATTCATGCTAAAAATCATTTATATTCATATAATGTAATCAAGTATTACAACATAATTTCCAATTCATAAAATTATATTTCAACAGACATGTATTATATTCTTCTAATTATATGTACCCATTGATATCGACATCATGTAAATAATATAACATATATTCAAAATAATTACTATATATTTTTTCAAGTTCCACAACAAATGCATCATCACATATTACTATGCATTAATTTAATTTTAAATGATGTATATGAAAGCAAACTCTCATGCATATATCAAGATTAATCCAAGTATCCCAACATATTAAAATAGCATTCAAGGTTTATCATGCTCTCATAAATAAGTTATCATGCCAATTATAATATATACTGCAATATTATTACGTCATAACTCTATCATGCAACATAACCATGTTTCTATCTCATATAATATGATATTATTTATCATTTAATATTATCACTTAATTGCATGAGTTAGAATTTTATAAATAAAAAGGGGTACCAGAAATAATTATAAATTGGTTATTTCAAGCTTCTGGGACCAATTTGAAATTCTCGCGTAGAGAATGCATCGGTGGTTTTGGCATCATGGAAAAACGTAATCATAACTTTTGTATCCGATGTTCGATTTTGTTGATTCAATATGATCCGAATAGCCAATGAAATTTCCTACAACTTTCGTCTTAGGACTGTGTCACGATCAAAGTAAGCTTTGAAGTCGGAATATATGTGTTATGTAAGAATGCACCTAGAATGGAACCATGGAAATATTAAATAGTATCCATGAATTGAGAATAATGTAAAACATCATCATATTAAGGCGGATGCTACTTTGTTGGAACAAATTTTGGACTGAAGTTTGACAAGAAAAATGTAGTCGAGACAAGAACCCAGTTCTTTCTCCTTGAGACAAATTTCCCGTGCAGTGCTCTCGGTTTACGGAAATTGTCTCAAGATACAACGACTATTTCAGTTACAACAAAGTAGCACAACATTTATTGAAACACGGCGAACAAAACGACGTTTAGGATTTTATAAGACACGAATAAATGGGACTTGATAATTCCAACAAAATGCAATTAGACGCTATGATGAGAAGTGAATTCACTAATGCAATGAGACGCTATGGTGGATTTTGGAATCTATTTATAGATTTTCAAAAGTTATGACCACAAGTCACCACTTTTAGGAAAATCATTTCATGGAAATGTATCACACATTTTCTCATTAATTACACACCTATTCCATTTACTAAGTGCTTAAACACCCCCCATCTTTTTCAATGGTGGCATTTTACTTTATTATTTTTCCACACTTAAATATTTTAGATGATTCATTAATTAATCATTCATCAAAAATTAATTTTGAGAATCTAAATTAAACCACTTAAATATCCAACAAAATTTGAGTCCAATACTCAAAGATTCCAACGCAAACGATCCCCAAGTAGCAAACAAATCAATGGAAAATTGGTTACACAAATCAAATAGGAATTGGAATTTTGTAAATTGCAAACGATTCGGTGGCACAACCTATGGCTGGCGCTATGAAATTTTAGTATATGAATTGGTATATATGAAATCGATTTTTCGGATCTATGGAATTTGTAATTTGGGATTTTCCAGAATGATGATCAGATTTGGTAACAGACGGGTCATTTGAAAGGGGAAGAAAAATATATGATATTATTTTGGGGATTTATTTTTCCATATATTGTTAGGAGTATTATTGACACATTAAAAATAATAAATTTACTAGAAATTAGGTTTTATTAGTTGAATTTATACACTAATACTATTATAATTCCACCTCTACCAACTCATTTCCAGGAAGAAATGGAAGTTAATTACGGATAAGATATCCATCCATAAGCTGACTTTTATTAAGTCAATTATTATATTTCAGTTATTCCTTGTGTCTAGGAGCCATAACTGACTTTTATCAAGTCAGTTAATAGATTTCAGTTATTCCTTGTGTTTAGGAGATTAGTTTTGTGTTAGTTCAAAATAAATAATTAGCACTTGTTAAGTTTTCGGTCAGTTGGAATAAGTAACTTGCTTGACAAATTTATATGGTATATTATTGTGTTTAAAATTCTTGCACATAATCTTCCATTGTCGTTTATTATTCTTTCGATTGTTCTCGATCCCTCTCATATAATCTCTTATAGGACATATAGCAAATTGTCCCATCTTACAAAATAGTCTTTAGTAACATAAAAATGTTATGAATCGATCATAACGTGGACATTCCATCATCGAAGAATTTTGAGAGAAATAGTGAATTCTAGTAGAATCCGTAACTCTAATTTGAAATGTTCGAACATGAGAAAATCGGAAAGAGCGAGAAAATCATATTGACATTAAAGAGTAACTTTTATCAACTTCAATCTATCCATTAGTAAATGAGATGATTACAGAACTATTACTAATCTTCTCCTAAACGACATCGTTTATCATCTGCCCATTAAGAAGTCGCTCGCCCGTCTTTTTTTTTTTTTTTTTTTTTTTTTTTTTGGAAATCACGCGATATGATATCTCTGGCTCATTTTCCTCTTCTAACAACAAATGAAAACTAGAAAATAAGAAAATAAAAGACCAACTAGTCGGTCACATATCTGGATTTACTTCTTCAGGAATCACAGTCAGAGTCTCGGTAACGTTATTTTTCCTTTTCACAACAGCCTTAAAAGGATTTCCAATTTTATCTCCCATTATTTCGACGATCTGGAAAAAAAAAAAAAAAAAAAAAAACCAATAAATCGACTAATTCAAATTAACAGAAAAATCATCGATAGGTATTATTACCTCCTTAATGCTTCCGACAGGTCTTCCTCCAAATTCAACAACTACATCTCCAGGAAGAAATCCAGCACGATCAGCTGGGGAACCAGGGAACACCTTTTAAAGAATGACATTAGATAACTCGTTTTTTTTAAGAGGAAAAACAATGACGCGTAACAATATGCTTTCATCGAGACATAATAGATAAGTAAAGTTCGATACAATGACGTCTAAAAATTATATGATTGTATGGACGCAAAGAAACAAGAATTCACCCCATTTTATTAGAAAACATTTAACAACAATTCTCATCACCCAATAAATTTTACGGGCACAACTTGAATATGTGTAGCTATCAATTTGCTTTAGTCATCGGGTTTCATACGTCAGTGTGATCACAAAAAAATGACAACAGCCACAAACTGCTTAAAGTATACGCTTTTTCAAGAGGGATGAATTGAAGTTATCTAACAAATTGAACTTTATTTGATCATGCAAACCGCAAGACACAAATAGTCATTTCAGGAATACGTTGAGATTTCATCGACCATTACCAGATTCAGGACTTTATAGTCATTTTACCAGCCATCATTGACATTGCATTGATTAATTTTATCGAAAGCAGAAAAATAAACGAAGAACAAAGGTTGACTTCTTTTATGAAATCAAAAATTGAGAAGAGTATAAATAAATTTATCTAAATAAATATCTCACCATGGGCACAAGAACTCCTCTGCCGACATCAGGAAATGAAGCGTTTCTTTCCTTGAGATTTTCGACAATTATGGAATTGAGATCAAGCATTTTCAAACCAAGCCAAGGTCGGACAACTCTCCTGCATCACAAACCATCCAAATTCATTACTCTATAGCAAAAGTTGCAAATACTATTCACATGTAGTTTTAGAGAGAAGTCATTTGGCAAACATTCAGACCCTTCGTAAAATGGATGAATTCACAACAATAAGTTTGTGAGAAAGTCATATATGCATGGCACGCATTACGAATCTACAATTTTTTTAATGAAAAAAAAATCTTGCAAGCGATTGTGCGTGTGTTTGTACAAAGAGAGTGAGACGGACAAAGTACCCATTCTTCTTGAAGTGCTCTATAATTTTTGAAACGGAATCAATCGGGACAGCAAAATTTAACCCATCAGCTCCCAAGACTTTCATGATATTGATGCCTACAACTTCTCCATCGACATTCACGAGAGGACCACCAGAATTACCCTACAACCACACAAAAAATTACACGGACAAAGAAGCCATAAATCACAGAGTATAATATCCGAGACTTTGGCAGTAAACAATAGATGCCGAGAAGTAAAAACAGTTGATAAAGATTTATTCTTGGGTTCTAAAGGCAAATGAGATGAATATATAGCTTGAACCTAGATTAACCATGATAAGCCATAAAACCTATATGAGAAACTAATAAACGTATACCTTTCCAATCAATGCTTTTTATTGATACATGCTTCACTTTGCAGTGAAAAAAAATGAATCATCAATTTGTTGCACTAATGTAAAATTGCAGTCCACCACCACCGGCATCCCAACCGTAAAAGGACGCAAAATACACATTGACGGGGATAGCGGTGGAAATGGAATGGAACATCTGATTTCCGTTGATTTCGATCTGAAATTTTCAGATTTTGGAACATTATTTTTCATTCTGAATTTTAACCTTCCGATTTCCGAATTTTCTGAAATTATTTGGATCGGAATTGGAATATATATGAGATTCTGATTTCCTATCCGATATTAAGTTCTGAAAATCTGTCAGAAAATTCCGATATTTTTCCAATTATTAAACTTAAAATATGAATATTATTAGGTATTTTATATTTTAAGAGACCAAAAATTGGAAATTTCTGAATTCCGCGGATTACAATCCAAAAATTTTCAGATTTTTGAACAAATTTTTTAATTTCAATTTCTGAAATTCTGATATCCCATTTTTACGATTTTTTTTAGCGGAATTGGAATTAGTTTTTCACTTTCGAAAAAAATCGGAATTTTTCAGAAAGGGTTCATTCCGATCCGTCCTAGATATACCCCCAGATGTGCACATATGCAAATGCACTAATGCAAGTAGCAAAGGAACAGATCCGAAAAATCTTAAATTATAACCATCATAACTATAGGGCATATTGTAATGGATAGAAAAAAAATATCTCAACGCAGGTGAAGGGAAGGAGATAAATTTACCTCATTTATTGCACAATCAGTCTGCAAATACTCCCTGTGCATACCTCCAAGACCCAACTCACTACTTTTACGATCAACACAACTAGAAACAACAAGGGAAGCAACAAAAGCATCAGTCAAATACATTTGCAAACCCTCGTTTACGAAATGTACATTAACATTGCATACTTAGAACAGATGGCAAAAGTAAATTACCTTACAATACCTGCTGTAACGGTATTCTGAAGGGTAAGGGGACAACCCATAGCCAACACCCAATCTCCTGGGCGAATGTTACTAGAACTCCCGAGTTTTGCTGTTGGGAGTGGGATTTTAGATTTAATCTTCAGTATTGCTACATCAGCATGTACGTCAACATTTACCACTGTACCCTCGAATGACCTACCATCTTGCAAAGTCACTTCGATCTGCCACGATAATCAATCATTTGTGTATTATGCACAATATCTAGTGCATGTACAATGTGTAATGCATAGTGCTTCAGAATATTAAAAAAAAAAAAAAAAAGGCAAACTAAGCCAATGCATTGCGCTTAAAACTTAATAGGCGCTACTCGATGAAATCCATTTACTGTAGATCCCGGTTGCTCTAAAGCCCAAGAACATAAAAATTGAACCGCAAATATACGTAAATATAGGATTAACAAACTATTGATGGTGTCTTTAGGACTGACTCGTGTCATCAAAAGTTTCTGTAGAACTGTGCTTTGTGAGTTAATTAGTTTATCAATACAACACTTTTAACAGTGGTACACAATGCACAATCAAAGCTTTTGATTTCTGATATTCACAAAGAGCAATAATTCATGCATTGTGCATCACATAAATACTAGAACGAGTCCCGAGATATTAAGGTGATTAAACTATATTATAAAGATAAAGGCCAAATACAAGAAACATGTGAACTAAGGTGAATATAATTGAAACTAAGATGTAACCTATGAGTTAAGACAAATTTAGTTCAAACTAATGGGCACATTTTCGATTGAATCGATTGAGAGGATTCAGAAAAACGTTCAAATAGAGTTTTTGTGAAATTGCTCTAAAATTCCAATAATAAAGGACATAAATGAGTTAAGTGATAAACCTTTTCCTTAGATGAAGACCTCAATCCTTGAAAATTAACCAAGCCATGAGCACAAGTTAGGATAGTACCATCTTCATTTATAATAGTTCCTGATCCAACGCTCCTACCGAGAGTTATACCATGAAAACCTACAAAAAAACATCAAGTATAAGTTACATACTATCAAACGAGGCTATTCACTCTGCAAAGTTAACAAAACAAAGAAAAGAGAAAATCGACCTTGTGGTACCGACAAATGGACAACAGCAGGAGCAACCTTAGTAGCTGCATTCGCAATACTATCACGACCAAGACAGTTGCACGAACGTTTGGGACTATCTCCAATATCAGCTCCACTACTAATATTAGCATCTGGTGCAGGATCTGGTCTTGAAAAAAATAGTGGAGAAGCACCTACAATTTTACATATTGAGTGAGGGAGGGAAACGAAAAAACATGGTACATGAACAAAAATACCAAATTTCAAGAAAAAATGAATAAATTGCTGAACAAAATGCAATACACCATAGAGTGAAGTAGAAATTAAATATACCATAGAGTGAATGGTTTGCGTAAGTAAATGCCGCAGAATGAAGGATGTTCTCTTTCATAGTTCTCCATGGCAATTGTAGCGAATCCCTAAGTGAAGGTATCGAGACCGACACTGATGTATCTTCAATAGAAAATACGTAAGACGAAAGAGACAAAGAGTTAGCTTGACAATTACAAAAACAAAAATGCAATCGTTATCAAGAATGTTTAAACGATTTGACTAATGCAGGCCTTAATCTAAACTTACTATAATCTGAAGAACTGGTAAAGCCAACTACCCCCGACCCGGCTGTAGCTAAAGCCACAGCACGTATGAGACGAGTTTTGTTTGAAAAATTTCTCTGCAACCGCAAATGGGAAAAAGAGAAGTATGTGAGACATATCAAATAATACAATATTCTCAGAGAAAATTCATCAAACAGTTTCCAGGCAAGCCCAAGTTTTGGAAATTTATAGTCTAAATAACCAATAAAACCGGAAGAAGAAGAAAAAAGAAGACAAATTATAATGATTAGGAAAATGCATACCAAGAAATACATCATTAGTGTTTTCAAGTGCAAATAAACTCTCACAAAACCCCCTTTTGTCCTCAAGAAAAATACGTTTCTTGGCTAGGGGTGGAATCAATCAACCGTTCCAAAAAATTCAGAAATTTCGGGAATAAATTTGTAATTCCAAGTTCTAATTCCAGAAATTTTAAAGGTTACGTTCCACTTCGATTCCAGTTGCATCAATTTTGGATGTTTCTGAAATCAACAATTTTTACAATTGTCGGGAATTATGAGGGGTAGCGCGGCGGTTCACGAGCTTTAGCTTTAGCAAGTTTCTTTCGTGCGGAAATCTGACTAACAGGCGGCGGCGGCGGCGGCGGGGGCGGGGCTAATTTGAGAGAGAAGGATGGTTGGGGTTTTGCAGCAACTCCGACGTCGCGTGAAGAAGTGGTTGCATCGGGTTTCAACGTACAAAAAAAGTAAGGGGTTGATTTATACGTAACGAGTTAGATAGTTAAAATTTACATAATATTAATCATTTATTTTTCTCAAGTTAGAACTCAAATTAGTGAAATTACACACTGCCACACTAGAAGTTGAAAGCAATTGCACATTAGACTATATTTGGTTGGTGCGTGTAGGCATTGAGGATCGGGATTCGAGATCCCGTCCCGTCTCGATTGGGATTTCGCTATTTAAGACTAAAAATTAAGGGATTCGGAATTACGGGATCCGGTATCGGTATCGGGATTGGGATTAGAAAGAAATATGAGATGGGATTCCGGAATTGATTAAATCCCGATCGGGATAATCTCATCCCGAGTTTCGAAAATAGTTAAATATTTATTTTGTTTTTTGAGGAAAAACGATACTTGGATTAGGCACCTATGGCCAAATGAAAAGGGATTAAAGTGTTAGAGTATGTGACCAACAAGCCAACTTGTGGCTGTGGTCTTTCATATTTATTATGGTACTAAATGAACCTTTTTCGTATTAATGATAAAAGACCTTGGCATTCTATATTTTGTCCCTTTGTCACAAGCATAGATATAGTCCCTTACAGTTATTACAGGTACTAGTAATTGATCGTTAGGATCGTCAGATATTTACTTAAGTATTATAACTGTTAAACGTGTTCCTAGTCGAAGGGTTACGCCACCAATGAGGATATCGGCCTTTCCCATTAAGAGACTAGCACTTAGTGTATGTGTACTGCATCTCATCAGTAAACGGTATTGTGATATCGGCATGCATAAGTGGGTGCTCGTAAGTTGACGAGTTCACTGAACTCCCTCACCCTAGAAATCTCTAAGTGGTTCCCAATAATCGAGTAGAGATATCTATGGTATAGTTGTACACCATTAGTCCTTATGACCTAGACATCACCGTGACTTCCACTAGAGGACCAGCTGTATCGTGGCCTGTCCCTAAGTTCCACCGAGGACCACCCCAAGGGCCAGTGTTCGTGCAGTCCGAAATCTAGTGGGAGGTCTGTGCATTGTAGTCGGGGATTCGATCGCTAGAATAGTCTTGGATGTCCTGTGTGTTCTCATAGTTTGTAATCTCTCTAAGTCTCTGGCCAGAGCTGACTAAGTGATGATTAGAGAATTCGATTCTCTATGCCATGCACGTAACGATTACAACACTTAGAACGATCGCACCGTCATTGAACAAATAAAGAGGTCTCGATGAACCAATGCCTCTAGTTCAATCAGGACATATGAATCGAAGGGATCGTACTGTACGCTAACTATATCTGAAGGTTCTTGCAGGCACTTCATTTGTATCTAGGGAATCATGACGCGTAGTTGCTAGACGCCAATCTTGATTCGTTGGGTGATTAAGGTGAAACGAGCTTCATCTTAATCGTAACTCTAATGGACGAGTTTTGACCACAAAGGGTTGTGGGCACACGGCTAGCTTACACCTGAACCATCGAGGGTCACACTGCTCGTGCACATGAGATCGTTGAATAAACGGTCAAAGGTAAAAATGGTTTATCTTTGCATGATTGGAAGTCAATATGATTGGGTCCAACATTCATAATTTGGAATTATGAATGAGAATAAGAAAAGGAAAAGAATAGGCGAACATCTTAGTGGACTTTCTAAATCGGGAAGTTTCCAAATTTAGGAAGTGCACTGAATTAGGGTTTCCACTTTTGGAAAGTTGGAAATAGAGAGTTGGCACTCGTAATGACGAGGACATTACAATGATTCCGAAAATGTAATCGTTATAATTTTCCGATCATTGAATTGAGAGAAACGAGCGAATAAAAGACTAACGAACTTAAGCTCTTGGGCCCGGTCCAACTTAAGCCCGTTAGGGCTTTTATGCAAGACACTAGAAATACTTGATTTATAGGTCTTGCACACATACAACACACGACCCTAACCCTAGCCGCTCCCTCTCTCGGCCGTTCTCCCCCCCGCGGCCAACACCGCCGTTCGTTCGCCGGAATCGGCCTCGTCTTGGCCGATTAATCGTGGTAGATATTTTTCCTTTTATTCTTTCCGATTTATTCTAACTATTGCGTGTCTAGTGCCACGTTTTAGTAGATCAAAGTATACGAGGTGAAATCCGAGAGGAGGAAGATCGAAGAATCGAAGAATCGAGGAGCAGCCACCGAGTCGACGACGCACGCGCCTCCACGCGCCGCCCGAAGACAGCGCGTGAACCACACGCGCCGCCTTAGCTCGGATCATCGCCGCTGCTGCATCGCCGTTGCTGCCCCGGATTGCACGGATTGGTTTCCGTGGCAATCTAGCTTTGCTTAGTGCGCCTACCTCACGTTTCAAGAGGTAAAGTTTCGAATCCATTGTCGTTCGATTCGTTTTCGTTTAAGTTAATATATGCATGTTCGTTTTAATGAAAGCATGTATGATTTTATGTGTCTACATGAAATTGTTTTTGTTATTGCGAGCATGATTATTTGATTTAAACGCAAGCATGCTAATTGATTTAATTTCGGTTAAGTAATTAAGCATGTATGCTGTTTTTAATTTCGCTGGAAGCGCAAAGGTACGCAATTAATTGTTTTCAATTATCGGGCAAGTGTTTATGTGATTTAAATTCGTTTAATTCGCATAAAATTTTCGTTTTCCGCTGCGTACACGTCTCCGATTCCCAACAGTGGTATCAGAGCTCGTTGCGCAATTAATTGCGTTCGTTTTAATATGCTATGATTTTATGCATGTTCGATTTATTAAAGTTGTGATTGTTGTATTATGTAATTGGGAGTTCTCGTAAGTTTAAAATATTTTTGAAATATTGTTTAGAATTTTTCCAGCTTTAAAATTGTTTAAAATTGGATCTGAAATTATTTTTAAACATCGGTTTTTAATTGTTCGGATCGAACCGGTCGAATCGGCCGGTTCGATGGTTGTATGCGATCCAATTGACCGAATCCACGTGGATTCGGGTCGGTCAGACCGGTTCTCGGTCCGACTGACCCGGCCCACTGATTTGGGTTAACTGGACCGTTTCGGTCCGAACCGGTCAGACCGGTCGGGCCGAACTGGTTCACTGAAAATATAAAAAATAAAAAATATATTTATTTCAGATTTCTAAAATTAAACTTAAAACAAATTGATTTCAATTTTCGGAAAATTATTTTCAATTAATACCAATTAGATAATCGAGTCAACAATCATCTATTTTAGTAAATAGGTGTTAGATTAATTAATTAATTTAAATTGTTAAATTGATTTCAAATAATAGAACACACATATAATATTGATTATAGTTCAACTTAATTAATAGTACCTCAACATTATTTGAATGATTTATTCTAGTTGAGGTTCTATAATTATTTTGAAAAACCCGATAATTAATTATTGTAATTAATTATGTAGTTAGGTCGTATGTTTCTCTTAGGACAATATGCGTTTCCATATACCTTTAGAGAACATAGATGTAGGAATCACATAGACCAATCCGAACCTTCTGATGAGATAAAACTTTTTAATAAAATCCCTCATTCTTAATCTAATTAAGAATCATTTCAAGCTATAAAGAAAAACCAATCTGTTGAATTTTTCTTTCCTTCTATCAACGATTGAATTATGTGTAGTCCTTTACTGTAGTGCAGTAAGCCGTGTTAGAGGGGAGTGCTATGGTAAAGTAAGCTGTAATTCAATTGACATAGCGAAGAATGTAGCCATAGAAAAGGGTTATGCTAGATTAACGTGGTCGGCTAGATTAACTAGGGACTGCATTAGTTTGGCATAATCAAGTTCTATGAGCATCTTTGATTGGTAGGTTAGAATTGACACACGACGATTTTGAATTCGCGAGATTAACTTAGGTCATTATCAAGTGTGAGGAAAATTAATTTAGGGTCATATTGTGGATATGATTGATTGTGATCTACCTTTGGGCAAATATAATCGGGCTAGATTAACTACGGGTTATAATTGTCTATTAGACCTAAAGCCCATTAAGAAAAATGAGTTTTCTCGTTTGTCTACTAGAGGGAAGTGGAACTCGATAAAATTAGTGGGAGAACAATTGAATAACATAAGGCCAAACATTTAATTGTAACAATCATTTAACGCGAATCTCTAATAATCCTCTTCTCTATACCTCTCAGATAATCATGTCTAAGAATCCCATAATGTCAATCCTCGACAATAAACTCAATGGCCCTAATTACCTAGATTGGTTGCGTAGTCTTAAGCTTGTGCTAACCGTTGATGGGCGTCTCTATGTTCTTAACGAGAGACTTCATGCCACTATACCTGCCACAACGACTGATGCTGAAAAGGAAACTTATGAAGTATGGAAGAATGATGACACTCATGCTAGGTGTTATATGATAGCCGCCATGGAGCCCGCGCTTGAGAGGAAATATGAGTCTCACATGCATGCTTTCGATATAAAGGCACATCTCGATAGCATGTATAGTGAGAATATTATGGCATCGAGGTACCCTGCCACAAAGGAGTTGATCACGGCGAGACTGCGCGAAGGGACTACGATCCACGAGCACTGTCTCAAAATGATCACTCTCCTTGAAAAGCTAGTGAATCTCGATGTCATCCTCCCGGCCGAGCTCTCGTTGGATTTGATCCTGTTGTCTCTTCCGAGTTCCTATGAATCGTTCATAGTGAATTTCAACATGAACAAACTAGATCCTCCCTTGGATGAGTTAATGAACATGTTGGATGAAAAAAATTATTTTAATTAATACTACTGTCTTGGCTGCTAAATTACTGTCTCCAACAGTAATTTAACTGTCTGAGACAGTAATATTACTGTATTAATTAATTTTATCGTCTTCGCCTGCATTTTTATTGTCTTCGACCGTAATATTACTTCTCCGACAGTAATATTACTGTCTCATGCAATAATATTACTATTTGGTACAGTAATATTAGTAATATTACTGTTTCGAAAAATAATATTCATAATATTACTGTCTCAGACAATAATATTACTGTCTGAGATAGTAATTTAGCAGTCAATACAGTAATATTAATTAAAATATTTTTTTCTAAGAAAAACCAAAATTAAAAAAAAAAAGGTCAACGCCGGAATCTGGCCGGAAAAAAAGTTCAGAAAAAAAATTATTTTTTGAATTTTTTTTTAAAAAATTATTAAAATTGGGGTTAATGTGATATATTTTTTTAAATCTGGGGTCAATGTGTAATATTAAGGAAGTTAGAGCATAATAGATGGAATTGATAACAATTATATTATGGAGGGTATTTTAGACTAAAGACATGGGGATAAGTTTATTTGAAAGACTATTTTTTTTATGGACCAATGTGCATTTAAGTCCCTTATCATGGGTCTATATTTGCCATTCGCCCTAATATTTAAAAGTTTAAATATACTTTTTTAAATCTAATGTCTATTTTTCACTTCTACTGATTGTAGATGTTAATTTCCATATTAAAATAAATTTATATGTCCAAAATGTAAATTGTGGAATGATAATTTGGATTGGACTTATAAATTATATATAATTTTTTTTAGATACAATTATGTAATTTTTTTTTGATAGGAAATACAATTATGTAATTGACAATAAATTAAAGTGTTATAATATTTTTTAGAAATTATGAATGCATCCTTACATTTTTAATATTTATACATCTCTCCACATTCCTGCATCGAACTTTTTGAAAACAAATGGGGTTTCCCCATTTCACACTGTGTCTACTGGGTCTACGTTCCCGTGTCCGTGCTACATCCCGACAAAGACAATCACAAGTGGCAACCAATTGAAAAAAATGATTCCCTAAATCCAAACACAAACGGACAACTACCAACTGCTCCATACGTAATATCAAATATAATAGAAGAAAGAAATTTGATTCTTTAGAAATGTGTGGAACGGAATCTAAATGTGAATATCTGAAAACAGTGTGAGAGAAACAGAGGAATTCTTACTGTAAGTTTTCATTAATCCCGTTTTCATACATCAATTCTTGAAACCCTTTTCTTGTCGGTTTGATCTTGTGCAGAGTATGTTCTCAATTCTTCTATTAAAAAATAAATAAATAAAATTAGGTTTTTTTAGTGTGTGTGTGTGTGTGTGTGTGTGTGAGTGTGTGTGTGTTTGTGTGTCTTTTTTTTTTAAGCACTTCTGTAATTGTTGATACTAGTTTTGATTAGCTGTAGACTGAGTTAGGGTTTTGTTCGGTTTTTCTTGATAATTGTAAGGGGAGCCAGGACTATGATACAGGGGGGCCATCGCCCCCCTCCCATTGCTTCTCAAATACTTGGTATTTAATAATAAATATTTGTTAAACCTGATGTATATTACAGTAGAACCTCGATAAATTAATAACCTCGATTAAATAATGGTTTATCTCGGTGAAAACGTATTAAATTATTAACTCGATAATTTAATAATTCGCTAAATTAATAGAATTTTCCTGGTCCCGACAGTATTAATTTATAGAGGTTTAACTATATGCATGTATTTGATTAACTCATAGATGTAAATTCCATTCCCTTCTCGAATTCCGATACTATTTAATTGGATGAACTGAAAAAAATCAAATTCGAATAGTTTCAGATGGAAGCGAAAACCGAAGAATCCAGTAATGAATACGCCGCTGATATTTCTTCGATTAAAGAAGCACAGGAACGCATCAGCGCTTACGTCTACAAAACTCCGGTCTTGTGCTCCGAAACCCTCGATTCTATCTCCGGAAGGAATCTTTACTTTAAATGTGAATGCTTCCAGAAAGGGTGAGATATTTGGATACATTTATTATCTGACGTGTTAGGCCTCGTTTGGTTGGGGAGATTAGCCATGATTAACTAAATAATTGGACTTTGTTCTATGTTTGGTATTCCCAATAAATTGCCTGGTCGACCTGCAAATATTATATTATTATGGCTTATCTTGCCTTCGAGGCATGTTTTTTATTGGACATTCGAAGGTCCAATAATACAAATGGGTTTCGTTAGATTAGTTTAATCGTATCTTGGCAACCAAACGAGCCCTTAATATATTAGCATAAACGGTGATTTATTATACATACATTTTCTTGTTTGTTTGTAATAATAATAATAATAATCAGGGGAGCTTTCAAGTTCAGAGGGGCATGCAATGCCGTGTTTTCACTTACGGATGATGAAGCAGCCAATGGGGTCGTGACACATAGCAGGTTCGTTTTTCTAGCTGATAACTAAAAACCCGTTATTTAATTTTTTTTTAATTTGCATGTTTTTTTTTTTTATATACTAACTTTGAAAAAAAAAATAGCGGTAATCATGCAGCAGCACTTTCGTTGGCTGCAAAAATAAGAGGAATTCCCGCACATATAGTCGTTCCGAAAAATGCACCGAAATGCAAAGTCGAGAACGTCGTCCGTTATGGTGGTCAAGTTATTTGGAGTGAGGCTACGTTGCAGTCGAGGGAGGAGGTTGCTCGGAAGGTTCTAGAAGATACCGGTGCTGTTCTTATCCATCCGTATAATGATGCTCGTATCATAAGGTGAGTGTTGTCATTCAAGTTTATTTGAATTTTTTTATGGAGCTTTTTTTTAAACAATACGTAATTTGAATGCGTGTGCCCCTTAGTTATTGTTAGCTAGCAGATTAGGTAGTTTATGAATTAGACAATTACCAAGCTTTTCGTTCGTTTCTTGAATGAGCAATTCAGCTCTTTTTTTTTTCTTTTTCTTTTTTCACTTTCAAGATTCTCACATCATATAATAATTTAGAAATTGTGTTTGATTATCTGTTGAATCGAGCTCGAACGACTACTAACTAGTCGAACATGAATCGAGCTCGAACGAGAGTACTAACTAGCCGAACATGAATCGAGCTCGAATAGTTTGATTGTCAATATAAAACATCGATTTAATCAATTTTTGCCCACGTAAGATGTGTTTTCACCGAAGTTTCTTGTCGTACACCAATTTCACAGATTTTTTTTAAAATCAGTTTAATCAATTTCCGATTGAACTCGTTTTTGGCATGCATCACATATTGTTTGTCGGATTATAAATATTTTGAATGATTTATAACTTCTTTCTTTTTCAGTGGGCAGGGAACCATATCGCTAGAGCTTTTGGAGCAGATTCCTCAAATCGACACGATCATAGTTCCGATAAGCGGTAAGATCTCGATATTATTAAATTGCAATCAAATAGTTACGTACCTTCTTCATCTCAACATTTGTATCAATTAAAAAAAACAAATGCTTACACATTGAAGCAATAAAAAAAATGTAGGTGGTGGTTTAATCTCGGGGATAGCTTTAGCTGCCAAGTCTTTAAATCCCGCGATTCGAATATTTGCTGCCGAACCAAAGGGAGCAGATGATGCTGCTCGGTCCAAAGAAGAGGGCGCTATCGTAATTTTACCAGAGACAAATACCATTGCCGATGGTCTTCGAGCTTCTCTTGGAACACTCACATGGTAAAAAATAAAAAATAAAAAAAAAATAAGATAATAATAATAATAAGTCAATTGTATTTTTCATGACATACTTTCGTATCTTTTTTCGTCTTGTTCAATATGGGTTAGTTAAAAAATTGGATTTTATTTGATGTTTGGTTAGTCTGATAACTTCTCGGATGGGCTCAATTTTTTTTGGAAAGATAAGGCATGATTAATTAATTAAAATAATTAAAGTTTATTTTTATTTTTTTTCGGCCCGGCCCATAATTATTGAAAAATGAGCTATTAGTATTAGATTGTCCCGTTGGAGCCCCTACGCATTTTCGGGAGTTGAAATTACTTTTTTACCCTTTAATATAATTACAACCTACAGGCCTGTTGTTCGGGATTTGGTGGACGGGGTAATTGTTGTGGAGGACAAAGAGATAATCGAAGCAACCAGACTATGTTACGAAACTCTGAAGGTTGCGGTGGAGCCAAGTGGGGCCATCGGCCTTGCGGCTGTTCTTTCCGAAAGCTTCCGGAATAATCCCGTTTGGAAAGACTGCAAAAATGTGGGGATTGTGCTTTCAGGAGGGAATCTTGATTTGGATGTACTGTGGGAATCTTTAAAAAACAGAATATGAAGTGTAAGAACGATTCAATTGTAAATACCGATAATTCCTTGTCATATTCGGGGGAATGAATTTAACTCGTATTGTATTCGAGTCTAAATTATTTTGCTGCTGCATACGCTTGTTTTTTTTTCAATCCAAACGCAACCTTAGATATTATTTCGTATCTTGTGAGTGATTTATTTATCTTCGATTAATTGGTTTGATCCAAAAAAATACCACAATTCCGCACATCTTTCAATATTTTTCCGTCAATGGTGTTTGCTTTTAAATTATATTTAGCTCGACTTTTTACAATCATCCGCGTCTAGTTATTAAGTTCTCCTTGCTAGCAGAGTTTATAAGAGGTAATTTGAGTGAACAATATAAATAGTGCGAGGCTGAGGATTCGGTTGGTGAATTGGATGAGATTCAACGCAGCTAGTTACTTAGGCCGTCAGTGGACGCTTGAAAGAAAAAAATACGTGTATTTCGATTGCATACGGTGTAGCAAAAGTGCGTTAAGATGGATATTGTTATCTATTTTAACAACATAGAGTTAGGGGGTGACATGACTCCCCCAACATTTCTTAAATCACTTATAGCTCTTTGTTGTCTCCACTTTCTGAAATCTATCGTAATAAGGTATCTAATGCATTATCTCATTAGAGTTTCTAACTATATGTTTCAGGGGGTGAGTGTAATTATCGATACCACAGGGACTTTAAAGTTATTTTAGCATACCTCAGGGGTGTGTTGTAATTTTATCCTAATAAAAAAGAAGAGAAAAGAATGGACAACGAAAAATAACCTTAGCTTATTTTTGTGCTTCTGGCTAGAAAATGTTTCGGAAGTCATCGTAATATTAACATCGATTCTAATCACAAATCCCTATCTTTGAACTCCCTCGTATATAAAACATTAATGTCATTCACTCGTGGTTGATGCCGGTCAAGGTGGCTGAGTGGCGGAAAAATATCGGGGTCAAAATTTGATTAAGAGTCAAAATTGGTGCATTGGTGAATTGGGCGTAGAGGTGGTAAACGAGGCGAGCCAAGCCAGTTTTTAGTTGTTCGTGAGCTAACGAGTCGGTTCGCGACCCTTATTTATTATTTATATTATTTTTATATATTATTTTTTATTTAAATAATGTATAATAAATATACAATATTGTAGAAATAAAAAAAATAAAATATAAATATTAAAAAATATATATAATTACAATTTATTTTTTTATTTTGTAATTTTTTAAAATAATTTTTAATAATAATAAAATACTAAATAAAAAAAATATTAAAAAAAAAAAAAACAACAAAATGAGCTTGGGCTCGAGCTCGAGCCAAAAAAGAAGGAACTTGATGAGGCTCGAGCTTGCCAAAAGAGGCGAGCTCGACTCGTTCACACCCCCTAATTGGGGGTGTTAAGGGTAAGGGCTAGTTTTGGTACGTACGTAGTGTTTTTCTTTGTTAGCAATAAGTGTCGGAAGGGTGGATTAATTTGTAGAAAAAAAATGTCCCTTTATTCATGGGCTTATTTGACATTTGCCTATGAAAATATATTATGCATTCCTCCTTTCAGTTTCGTTTAATTAAAAACTGTAGGTTTATAAAGTGCATGTTAGGTATTCTTAATGTTTGTACTATGATATACTCTTCATAGGAAATGATGCGGAAATTCTACCATCAGCAGGGGCGGACCCAGGGATTATTGGGTGGGGGGCTAAAAAAAATTTTTTGGACTAAAATGATACTAAATTTGAAGTTTGGGGGGGCTAAATGGTATAAATCAATAGATAAATAACATAAAATATTAAAAATTTAATAAAAAATAGGTAAAAAAAAAATTTCTGCAGGGGCGGAGGCCCCCCTCCCCCCCCCCCAAAGAATAACTTGGGGCCCCCCCTGAACATTAGTTATAGGTTTAAATTTAGTTTATTTCTTAAAAAAGAAATGGGGGAAAGATTTTGTATTTTTTGGTTTTAGGTTTTTTCCAAATTTAAAAATAAATTTTTTGGAATTTTTCATTAAAGTTATTTTTTTTCAATTCTTTGCCCATTTTATATTTTTTAAAAAAAGGGTTTTTTTTTTTTTTTTTTTTTTTTTTTTTTTTTTTTTTGGAAAAACCCCTTAATGGTATTACTCTTTAGTTTGATGATAGTCTATGTACCAATTGTACTAAGATATTGTGGAGTTTCATGGATTACGGGTGGACATGGCCACGGCCCGGATCGGACTCGAGGACACGACCCGAAGAATGGATTTTAATTGAAGGATGTTTGCTCAAAATTTGTTCAAGTAGGGCTCAAACTCGGGACTCTTGCATGCTTTTTGATAGAACTAACCACTGGGCCAAAGAAAATATTTGATAATTATCTAGCAACAAATGTATATAACAAAATGATTTAATTGATGTATAAATAATGTTAAATAAATTATTATTTTCATATGCATTATATTATTATTAAATAATTTAATTAAATTATTAACAAATTTAATATAATAAATTTTAAAAAATATAAACAATCGCGGTTCAATACTTCCAAGTTCCAAACATCTATTATTAATTACTATATTCAATATAATCTTCATTGCTGAAAAATATAAAGTATTGAATCAATTCAATATATAAATAAATGCGTGACTTAATACAAACTCACTTATGTTATTAAAGTCACTTATGTTATTAAAGTCGATAGTGTGAAAAATTCGAATGAAAAAAAAGATGTTTATTTAAAAAAAACATATTATAATACATTTCAATTAATTTAAATCGATTAACCTCAATTATTGACAAGAACTTATTAAAACTATTGACTATTTTATCATATGACAATTATTGACAAGAACATATTTATAACAAAAATTTAGATGATGTTCATTTTAACAAAAATAGATTATAACCCATTCCAATTAATTTTCCTACTTTAAAAATAAAATTATATATGATTTGTAGAATCAAAATATTATGATGCGATTTTTCTTTTAATAATTGGTTAAATAATAATTTAAAGGGAGATAGTATTGAAAAGAACATATTATTCGAATTTACTATTTATAATTAAAGTATAGTATCTTTTTCATTGAATTTTATCATAAAAATAGTAAAATATAATTTGTAAAAATCGTAAGAATAAATATTTTAATCGTGAGATTTGAATCGGTTAAGTTCAAGTTCTTTCAATCCGTAAGCTTTATATATCAAGGATTTAAATTGATTAAACTCAACTATTCACAATGACGTATTAATCAAATTAACTATTTATAAGTTAAGTTATATCATATTAATTGAATTTTATTATAAAAGAATAATAAAATTTAATTTGTATAAATCGTAAGAATCAAATCGTAGATAATATTGAATTAAATCGTAAGAATCCAATCGTAAAAAAATAATAAAACTTAATATATATGTTCTTTTTAATTTTGAATTTAAAGTTCAGTTCAAGTGCTTTCAAGTTTGAATTTTTTTTTCTTCATTGTAATTTATTATTAACCAAAAAAAACAATTAAAAATCCGGTATGGACCTTGACCCGGCCCGGACCCAAGTGGACCCGACCAGGACCCGGAGCTGCCTCACCATGTGTCGTTTTTGGGTCCCCCAGCTAAAAGTTGGACCAGGACACGGCGGATACGACCCGACCCGACCCAACCCGTGGCCGTGTCTAGATACGGGGAAACATATCACGTAGATGTGAAGCATAATAAATGCACGAGTTTTAAAATGATCTAGTCTACTATTAGTGATGAGTTCGTTAATTAGATCTTTTTCCCCTTTGATTATGAGAATTAATTATGCATCCATAATCCATATACATTATGTTAGTTTCATTCGAGACATGTATTTTTTTTTTTTTTCAATAATAAGTGTCCGAATTACGAAAAGAAACCACTATATTTGTCTTAATTGCCCTTTAATATAAAATTAAAAAAATGATTTTCTTTTTTCATAAAATTGAATTGTCTATTTTGCCCGCCTATTACAAGAAAACAAAAAAAAGGTAACTAAATCCTTGCACATGCAACAAAATTATTGGATTATTTATACTTGTAATTGTTGTCATGGTCAATCATAATCAGCATGAATGGAGGAGTGGGAGACTTTGCCCTCTTAATCGGATATAAAAATTACATTAGAAAGATCAATTAGCTAAACATAAATAAATATATCGTGGTGCAGTAATATTATATAGGATTTTTGTGCATAAGTCCCTGAGGTTTATTATTCTAGGTTTAGAGATTATATTTCTTTCAGCAATAAGCTCATCCCTTTAATATTTATTATAAATAAAGGAAACATTCATGTATATGACAATATTACACCCAACCTTTTGTACATAATTCTTAATTGTAACCCAATTAATCAATTTTATCCACAAAAATCCAATTTTAATTTTTTTTTTCAAAAACTTTTTTTTTTAAAATTTTTTTTTTGCCGCCGGATTCCGACGTTGACTTTTCGATTTTTTTTCTCTTCCAGATTTTTTCGCCGGTTTCCGGCGTTGACTTTTTTTTTTTTTTTTTTTTTCCTGGTCTGTTTTTCCGCCGCCGGATTCCGGCGTTGACTTTTTTTAGTGTTTTTTTAATTTTTTTTTGGTTTTTTGTTTTTTACGCCAGCCGCTAAACGTTGGCATTAATCGTGATGTCACTGACAGTAAATTAACGTAATTATATCATCAATGACAGTTAATTAACGTAATTGTACTGCCGTTGACAATACATTTATGTAATTGTTATGCCGTTGACACTAAATTAACGTAATATTATTATATTTTATTTTTTGTTATTTTTTTTTATTTTGTTTGATTTGTTGACATGTCAACGTAATTATATTATTGTCGTTGCCATAAGATAACTGTAAACAATAATATTACTGTCAACAACATCAATATTATTATTTTTTTGGGTTTTTTGTTTTGTTTGAGTTATTCACGGAGTAACGTAATAATATTACTCTATTATTATAATATTACTGTAAACACAATAATATTACTGTAGTTGACGGTAATATTACTGTTGTTATAGTAATATTGCTGTCAACCACATCAATATTATTATTTTGTTTGGATTTTTTTTTGTTTGAGTTATTCACGGAGTAACGTAATAATATTACTGTCTATTATTGTAATATTACTGTGGTTGACGGTAATCTTACTGTTGTTATATTTATATTACTGCCACTCACAGTAATATTAATTATTTTGGCTTTTTATTATGTTTACATTTGTTGAACGGTCAACATAGTAATATTACTCTATTACACAATAATAATGAGTTTTGTTGTGTTAATATTACTAGAGATTAATATAACAATATTATTGTGTTAAACTGTAGTTTAGTTAATTTTACTGTGTTTAACAGTAATGTAGATAATATGACTGTCAATCACAACAATATTGCTGTTTAAACGAAAAAAAAAATCGAAAAAGTCAACGTCGGAAACTGACGAAAAAATCCGGAAGAAAAAAAAAGTCAACGGCGGCGACGGACGAATTTGTCTATAAAATGTGTTTTGGGTCAAAATTGAATAATTTGTGAAATTTGGGGTCAAATTGAGATTAAATTAAATTAAGGATGAAATTGGAGCATATTAAAGTATGAGGGGCTATTTTAGTCTTTTACAAAAATCTGAACCATGTATGGACTTATTTGTAAAGAAGTTAATTGATCGATCTCTTTATAAATAAATACCCATTGATTATGAATAAATACTCATTGATGTGCTTATTTGTAAATACCCCATATTATATAATTGATGATGTGAATTTATATATAAACTCGTATACAAACATATCGATGTGTATGAATATAACGACGATAAATGTGCATCTAGTAAATGACTTATAAATCTATATTACGAGGAAATAGATCCAAATGAAACCTCGACTCTTTTCTAAAAGAAAAACAATTATCGCGAAAACGTTCAATGTTTATGTTTCTCCTATATGCTACACTCGGTTAATTCCACCGAGTGAAACTTTATATTGATTCACATGTTATAAGATTTGACTTTATAAGAAACCAATCAAAGTTGACTCAACACGCCCTAAACACGATCAATTGAATACGAATTAATCAAATTATAAACTTGAATTTTTCTTTTTGACCTTTTCTTAGAAATATTTATTCATGAATTATTAGACGTGACACTAACATGAATTATAAACTATGATGCTTACATAATCATACGATACCATGATTACGTACAATTTATGCTTCTCACGACCATACAAAAAATATTTATAAATAAATAAAGGCATGTCTTTGCTTATAAATAGTCAAATCCAAATGCAGATTTTTACACCATAAAACAAAATTTGCTTAACTAGTAAATAGAGAGTATAAATTATAATATAATTAATTGAATAGTTATCGCCATGGCCGAAGAGATTAAGCAGCGTTTTTTCAACCACAAGAAAGAAGAAGAAAAAGACGTCAAAGTCGAAGTCGACGTCGATGTCAATGTCGAAGTCGAAGTTGAAGTCGAAGCAGAAGAAGAAGTGCATGATTATGATAAAGAACGAAAGCATCACAAGCATCTACAACAATTGACCGGCCTAGGCGCCATGGCTGCCGGTGCCTATGCCTTGGTACGTACATACATATATACATTTTTATTAAAAAAAAATTATATTATTTTTATTCATTGATAATAGAAAAATTTAATTATTGATTAAATGACGGAAACCAGCATGAGAAACACAAGGCGAAGAAGGACCCGGAGAATGCACACAAACACAAAGTGAAGGAACATATAGCGGCGGTTGTGGCGGTTGGAGTTGGTGGAATCGCATTTCACGAGGGTCACGAGAAGAAGGATGCTAAGAAGAAATCTAAAGAATGTGCTTCTTAATTATTAACTACTTTAATTTATTCTTAATTATATTGTGTTTTATATTTTTATTGCATTTGATATGCATCTTGATAAATTGTGTTTTTCCTTTTTTTCATGTCTTATGTTATGTGATTGTAAGGCTAAAGTTGCCTATGTGTTATGTGTGACCTTTAAATAATTATTGAATTGCCTTCTATTTCCCAAGTATTTTTCTACAATTTTTGTTTCTCACTAGATCTCCCTAGAATATTGTTGTTATACTCGAAGAAACCTAGAATAGTAAAGATGGTTGGTCAGGGGCTTATGCATAAAAACTCCTTTAAAATTAAGATTTGAATAATATCATGTTCAACTTCAATTACTTCAAGACAAATAAATATTGATGATCCATAATCTCCTATAAAAATAGGTAATTAATTTAGAGTGGTGCTATTTCTACCTTCAACTTATCTCAAGTCACCACCAAATTTATAAAAAATATCATAAATATCCTTCAAATTTGTAATCCGCCACCTTCTTTTATATTCGCTTAATCCTCATATATTCTAAGTTTTTTTTTTTTTGCAATGAAACCTAAAAGGGTAAAACAAGATTGGGTTGAATAAAATGTAACCTATTTTTTAAATTTTATTCCACCGAAAACAATAATATCATAATCTCTGATATATATTTTTTAATTTATTTCTACATAAGCACTCTTAGTTTATTTGTCAAGAATATGAATTTCTGTTCTTTTTGACATTCATGTGTTTTTCTCTGAAAAACATATCGTTTACTTAAGGTGGAGAGGGAGAGAATTTTGTGGTAAAGATTCTAATGGAAAATGATGGATTTTTTTTTTTAATATTCTAATTTGTTTGGTGGTGAATAATTTATGAATTTGTACAAAATATAGTTGAAACTTAGAAAGAGGAACCATGAGTTTAAGCAATATAATTCTATTTTCCAAGTTTCAGCTCCAAAACCGTAGAACACCAACAAGGTGTTGAATGACCATCTCAACCAAAAGCTTAAACTTTTAGTGAAATGTATCATTTAATATTAATATCTCCAATACGCCCCCTCAAGTGCAGGCGAATTACATTTGAAGCCTTGCACTTGAAATATTTTTAAATGGGTGGCTGTGGGATTCGAACTCAGGACCTTTCATTTGGCGTGGCTCTGATACCATGTTGAATGACCATCTCAACCAAAAGCTTAAGCTTTTAGTGAAATGTATCATTTAATATTAATATCTCCAATATAAGCTTTTGGTTGAGATGTATCATTTAATATTAATATCTCCAATACAAGATGACATCATCAAATCGTAGGAGCAACACTATAAATACGCGTATTATTCGAAAATCCAGTTAGTTAAGTCATACATTTACGGGTTCGCTGTTCCTTTTCAATTCCAACATTTTCTTTTGTCAAACATTTTCTTACCGATGCTTAGACTCGAAATTACACATATGTTAAAAATAGGGAATCATGCCGGCGTTGACTTTTCGATTTTTTTTTCGGGTCTGTTTTTTTCGCCGCCGGATTCAGGCGTTGACTTGTTTCTTTTTCTTTTTGGTTTGTTTTTTCCGCCGCCGGATTTCGGCGTTGATTGTTTTTAGTTTTTTCTTCTTTTTTTTACGCCCGCTGCTAAACGTTGACCATAATTGTGCTGTCACTAACGGTAATTATACTGTCACTAACAGTAAATTAACACAATAATATTACTGTTAGCCACATCAATATTATTATTTTTTTGGGTTATTTTGTTTTATTTGAGTTATTCACGAAGTGACGTAATAATATTACTGTCTATTATTGTAATATTATTATATTACTGTAAACACAATAATATTACTGTGGTTGATGGTAATATTACTTTAGTTATAGTAATATTACTGTCAACCACATCAATATTATTATTTTTTTTGGGGTTTTTTTGTTTTGTTTGAATTATTCACGGAGTAACGTAATAATATTACTGTCTATTATTGTAATATTACTGTAAACACAATAATATTATTGTGGTTGACAGTAATATTATTGTTGTTATAGTAATATTACTATCACTCACAGTAATATTACTATATTTGGCTTTTTATTATGTTTACCTTTTTTTAAACGGTTAACATATTAATATTACTCTATTACACAATAATAATGAGTTTCGTTGTGTTAATATTATTGTGCTAGAGATTAATATAACAATATTACCGTGTTAAACTGTAGTATAGTTAATATTACTATGTTTAATTTTAATATAGATAATATTATTGTCAATCACATCAATATTGTTGTTTAAACCGAGGGGAAGTGTTAAAGAAAAAGGGGAAAAAAAATGATGAAATTGGACCATATTAAAGTATGAGGGGCTATTTTAGTCTTTTACAAACATGTGGACAATGTGTGGACTTTTTTGTAAAAAAAATTATTGTCTGGAATTCTTTATGAATAAGTACCCATTGATGACCTTATTTGTATAGTGTCCATAAAGAAAAGTGATGTCCGCATGGGTGTAGCTCAACTGGTTCCGGAGGTGGTAAGTTGGTGCAATGTCCTAAAATCGAATCCTAGCAGCCGCAGTGTGGGAATTTCAACTCCAATGAGGGTTGGTTCCTTGTGAACACCAGGTCCGGGTCCGCTTTCTTAACGGACCGTTGTGTTACCATAATATATATTTCACCATTAAATACTTGTCGGACCAAAGGATGAGTTACCAGATTTATATTCCTTCATCAAATATTTATCAGACCAAGAAATGGGGACCCTCGTGACGAGGGATTTTGCTTTTGGTGCATAAAGAAAAGTGATTTAGTTACAAGAAAACCAATAAAGAAGGATAAATCCTTGTACATGCAACAAAATTATTGGATTATTTAAACTTGTAATTGTTGTCATGGTCAATCATAATCAGCGTGAATGGAGGAGTGGGAGACTTTGCTCTCTTAATCGGAGATAAAAATTACATTAGAAAGATAAATTAACCAAACCTAAATAAATATAGGGTAAATTACAATCACCCCTAAGGTATGGTTAAATTATAATAAATCCCCTCTTGTTTGGATAATTACATTCACCCCTCAACTATGAATTTTCTTACACTTCCGCCCTTATGGTGTGAAATTTAACATAATCATCTAGATTCAGTGGAATGTGCTATAGTTTGTACTCGTTGTGTAAAAATACAGTTTCTGATGCATCACAATTTGATATATACAAGCCAAAAAACACATCTTATGATCATCTTGCTTCAAAATGTAGAGCTCGAATAGGATAAAACGGGTACAAAAGTGATAATATTTTATATAATCAAGAAGATTCCACTAAATTTGAAATTGCAAGGATGGACGTGTAAGAAAATTTTTAGTTGGGGAAGTTATTGTAGTTACCCAAACAAGAGGGAGGTTTTCATAATTTTGCCATATCTCATGGGTGGTTGTAATTTACCCATAAGTATATCGTATTACGAAAAGAAACCTTTATGTTTGTCTTAGTTGCCCTTTAATTTAAAATTAAAAAAATTATTTTTTTTTTCATAAAATTGAATTGTCTTTGCCCACCTATTACAAGTAAACAAATAAAGACAATTAAATCCTTACATGCAACACAATTATTGGATTATTTATACTTGTAACTGTTGTCCTGCAAGTCAATCATAATCAGCATGAATGGAGGAGTGGGAGACTTTGCCCTCTTAATCGGAAATAAAAATTACATTAAAAAGAAAAATTAACTAAAAAAACGGAAGATAAATACATGGGCTTATTTTATATATCTGTTTTTTACGGAGCAAAAAAAATAAAAATAATTAAATAAATAAAAAATAAAAAATAAAAAATAAAAAATAAAAAATAAAAAACTAGGAATAAACCAAAGCCAAAATCATCCTTAGGTATATCCTGGAGAGGCGAAAGTACTATACTACCTTTATATGCAATTTTCGGCCAAACTGCATTCAGGATTTCTGGTCCTGCTATTAGCATTTTGGTTGATTTATTAGTTATTATTTTTCTTTTTTTCTTTTTCTTATTTTATATACATGTTTGTTTAATTTGTATATATTTTTATCATTTATTTTTTATTATTTTTAATTTTTTTTTTGTTTTAAATCAATTTATTTATTGTACTGAAAATAACTACATTTAACTGTAGTAAACTGTAGTCATTCGTAGTTATGTTGTTTTTTTTACCCCATATTTTTAGTCGATCAATTATGTACACTCACGAATACTGGTTTATACAAAAGAAATTCATAAAACCCCAACAACAAAAATTTACAAATTTTAATATTATATTATAAATGACCTCAAAACCAATAAAATACAAATAAAAAATACACTAATATATGCATATGTAACTACATTTTACTATATGTAACTAGTAATGTACAATAATGTACAGTAATGTATAATAATATATACAGCATGTTGAACACTGTAACTTGAAAAAGATGTAACTTTTACCAAATTTTTTACATCTTAAAGGAGAGGATCAAATAAATCCAAATGAAACCCCAACTTTTTTTTCTAAAAAGAAAACAATTATTTCAAACTAGGCTTGTTTAAAATTTGTGTTTCTTCTACATACTACATTAGATGCATTTCACCAAGTGAAACTTTATATGAATTTACATATTATAGGTTTTGACTTAATAAGAAACCAATCAAAGTTGACTCAACACGACCTAAACACAATCAATTGAATATGAAATAATCAAATTATATATTATCAACTTCACTACCAAAAAACAAGGCTTTTGTGACAACCAATTTTGTGACAAAAATCAACAAAATCAGTCACAATTAAGCTTTAGTGACGGGATAGAGACGGAATATGTCTGTCAGAAAAACCCTCGTCACTAATTTAATAAGGACGGAGAT